GACCCATAGCGACCCTGTACAGGGTTTCCGAGGGTGTAAATCTTTACGGGAGTAGAAAGCCTCATCTTTCTCCCGCGGAGCAGCTGGCAGTTTCGAACTGCTGACCTTAAGGTTCGCAGCCCGATTCGTAACCACTACGCTACCAGAGCCTTGATCTTTAAATACTATAAATTGAAAATCTGGGAGGCCAAACAAAACATTCCTGCTGGGGGATGGGCAACTTGGACATTGGCTACCCAAAATGGGAGGGCTACATAGGCAAGAAGTGATTGGCTTACAAGCTTTCAAGAGGGAACCTAGATCCAGAGGGCATGAAGGAAGGTAGAATCTCCACTGAGTAGTATACAATCTGTCTAGGTGGGGCTGATAAAATGAAATGTGGATGGTCTCTTGTGATACAATAGTGAAAAATTGTTATCAGGACTGCTTGTGAGGGTTGGAAATGTAAAGGTTGATGTTTTGTAGCAAGGAGGGGAGTGATTAACTCTTCAGCCTAGGAGCTGAGGTCCCTGGGACCATCAAGGGAGAAGAGCGGAGAGCAGGACCCTATCCAGAGAAGCAGTGATGCCTGAGATGGAGGCAGAGACAATGATGTGGGGAGATGGAGCAGTTGGGGACTTTAGACACAGAGAGGGAGAGGGGTTGTTTGCTGATGACGGGGGTGGAGGTGGGGGCAGGCTTGTAGTATATACCCTTTGGTTGGTTGATGATGCATGGAGGGGATTATAACCATAGCAATGAAACAAAATATGATAGGATGAACGTAAAACTAATGTTCTCCCATGTAAATTAATCACATAATTCACAATAAAACATTAAAAACAAACAAAAAACATTCCTGCTGGCCAATTTGGCCATGGTCTGTCAAATATGCTTTCATTCCATCGGCCATTTCCTCCCCTGACCAACAAATTAAGTGTCCACTTTCTGTAAGCATTGGGATAGCAGTGTTGCCAAACAGCATTGTTCCACAGGAAGGAAGCGCTCAGGTATCTTGCTTCTAATCTTCAATGTATGTAGGGATCACCTGGGCCATATTGTTAAAAGCAGGTGGTCCGGGTGGGACCTTTCTAGGAAGCGCCCAGATGAGGGTGATGCTGGGCACCTGGATGAGAATAATTTTGATTACCATCGGTCTGAATTTGCCTGGCAAGCGTACAGTTTTTATGTAGATTTTGGTTTATTTGGGGAAGCTTGCAGAGAGCTGATGACAGGGGAGGAGGGTCTCTGTGTCACTGTCCCCCAAACTACCCCGTGGCGCTTCCAGAAGTTTACTCTCATAGGCCCTACTGTGTAGTAGGCGGGGTGGTGCATGGGGTTGGGGGGAAGGAGGAAGCTCTTTGGGAGAACTTCCTGGACTAAATGCACGTGAATTGCTAGAGCGCCCCGAACTGCCCTCGGAAAGGAGACACCCTGAACTATCCTTCCCAGGTGCTGGGTCGCAGCATTCCCAAGCTGAGTACGGTTTCCCAGGCATCCGGGGAGTGTGCAGTTTGCGCGTACCTGCCAATCAAGTCTCTTTTCCCTGATTGGTGCGGGTTTAAAGGTGGCTGCCCGTCAGAGCGCTCCCATGGTGCCTCGCGGCCGGCGGGTTTGGATTTTAAATCTCCGCAGCCAATCAGCGGCCTGCAGGGTTTTGTAACGTTCCCGGCGCCGCGTTTGAATTCGACTAGGAGGAGAGCGTCGCGGGGCGTCAGGTCGGACTCCGACTAAATCCGCAGAACAACTTGGGGAGAAATGAGTGCGGCGGCGACAGCAGGGAAGCTGTCACGGGTACCAGCCGAGACTGGGAAGACCGGGGCCGCCGGAAAGGTTCCCGGGGCGACGGCTGCTGCCCTGCCGGCGAAAGAGATCCCGGAGGTCCTAGTGGACCCACGCAGCCGGCGACGCTATGTACGCGGTCGATTCCTAGGCAAGGGAGGCTTTGCCAAATGTTTTGAGATCTCTGATGCGGACACTAAGGAGGTGTTCGCGGGCAAGATCGTCCCAAAATCTCTGTTGCTGAAGCCGCACCAGAAGGAAAAGATGTCCATGGAAATATCAATCCACCGCAGTCTAGCCCACCAGCACGTCGTCGGCTTCCACGGCTTCTTCGAGGACAACGACTTCGTGTTCGTGGTGTTGGAACTCTGCCACCGGAGGGTGAGGGTCTCTGCTGGGGGGCTACAGCGGCCTGGGGGCTTCTAAAACGTCAGCGTGTGTAGGACTCACCTGGGCCACCCGATGCAGCTGGTGTGGGATGGGACCTTTTTAACAAGGGCCCAGGTCGTGCCGGGTCCCTGGACTGTAGTGTTGGGGATGTTGGGTACCTCTAGCTGGGGAAGTTCCTGAATAGGTGGTGCATGGCACTCGAAGCTGTTGGGGAAGGGGTTAAATGGAGTCTAAATCACTTTGTTGCTAGGGAAGGCACTTTCTGAATTCCAGGTGTTTGGAGATGGGAGGACTCTAGTCATAGACGCTAGTACCCCAAGAGTTGGTATGGGAGGAGCCAGGAACAAGGGGTCCTGAGAGCTGGAGTTTCCAGGGTGGGGCTCGGGGGAGGGGTTGGAGCTAGAATTGAGAGTTCGGGGGAAGAGAGTGGTAGAAAAGCGACCTGGAGCAGTGAGGCAGTCCCAGGAGGGGGATGGGTCCCTGAGTTTCTGCAGTGGGGCGGGGAGAGGGAACCCAGATAAGGATCTTGGGACAGTGAGCTGTGAGCTGTGAGCCCTAAGTGCTGTGAGCTGCTGTAGTCCAGGGATCCCTGGTTAGGACGAGTCCAGCGTACAGTTGTCCTGGAGAAGGAATGGGAATGGGGAGGAGAGGAAATAGCCTGCCAAGCCGCCTCCCCATAGCCCGTGGTCTGCCCCTGGGTTCCGGTTTCCAGCCCTGGGCCGCCTTTCCCTCGCTGCCCTCCCGTCCTCAATGCCACCTCTCCATTCCTGCACCTCCCCCTGCCCAGTCCCTTCTGGAGCTGCACAAGAGGAGGAAAGCGCTGACTGAACCTGAGGCCCGGTACTACCTGCGGCAGATCGTCCTGGGCTGCGAGTACCTGCACCGAAACCGGGTCATTCACCGGGACCTCAAACTGGGCAACCTCTTTCTGAACGAAGATCTGGAGGTGAAAATAGGTGAGGTGCTGGGGCGCATGCATTCTACCACTAGTCGGGGACAGTGAGGAGGAGACAGAGGGAGGAAATGGGAAGAGGGTGATGGGAGGTCTGGGCTGCTGATTGCCCATAGAGCTTCTCTTTAGTCCAGAAAAAGTTAAAACATTTCTGTGCCCATTAACAGTATTTTTTATTTATTTTTTTAAATTGGAAGTAGTTTCTATGTTTTCCGTTGGGAAGCTTGACCTACAAACTTGGATGTAGAGCTCCTTTTCAATGATTGGAAGCCTCTGCTAAACATGGGCCAGCCTTCCCTCAGGGCACTCCTCTTTGCTGGACTGAAAGCAGACATCTCCCTTAGATTCCATCTGATTTGCCCCAGCCCCCCACCTCTCCACATTTTTTATAAACATGCCAAGGATCAGCATGAGGTTACTTCCTGAATCCTGTGGTGTTTGAGTTTTTCTATTCCTATCTAGTTCCCTTTTAAAAGCATAGCCCTTTTTATGGGGTGCTGGGAGGGTCAGCAGTTGGGTGGATTCCTAGGTAAGCTTCTCTGGGTTCAAGGATCAGAGACTTGTGGAAACAAATGACCACGGGTTGTGATGGTGGCACCTGAATTGGCTGTTTGCGTTGACAGTGGGCAGAGACTGGCATCTGAGCACCCCCTTTTCCTCCTCCTGTTTCAGGGGATTTTGGACTGGCCACCAAAGTTGAATATGATGGGGAGCGGAAGAAGACCCTTTGCGGAACTCCTAATTACATTGCTCCTGAGGTGCTGAGCAAGAAAGGCCACAGTTTTGAGGTGGACGTGTGGTCCATTGGGTGCATCATGTAAGTTGCAAGTTGTCTCAGGACCCTTGTAAAGGCATCTCACTTGGCTGACCTTTTCTTGGGGACATTTCCACTTATGGAAAGGCTGCTTCAAAGGACAGAAGATACAGAATCAAAGCCTAATGTCCCTACCTTTACTTGTCACTGTGGAGAAACCCCTAAGATTCCTGAGGCCTGTGTTCAGGAACCAGGAGGGGTGGTTGCCAGGAGAATGTCTCAGTAACATTGCAGCTGTTCACTACTCAAAGCATGATCCACAAACCACCAGCATCAGCATCACTTGGGAACTTGTTAGAAATGTAGGTTCTCTGGCCCAGACCTACTGGATTCTGGAGTTGAACATGATCCCTGGTTGGTTTCTGTGCACAATAAAGTTTTAGGAACACTGATCTAGAAAGCAACTTGGCATGGGCGGAATTTGGCCAGGTGTTAAGGCTGGCTGGCAGGAAGGAGGAGGTTGAGTGGTGGACAGAGGCGTGGATCTTTTCTGCTGTTAGCTTCTTTGTTGTTAGCCTGGGTCCCGGAGAGTTGGACTGAGTTGTAGCAATGCCTTTCATAATGCTTTTCAGTAGAGCTTTTTTCCAAATGAAAACGACAAACCTTCTCTCAAGTGTAGATGTTCTGGACCGCAGCTGCTTCTGTAGGAATTGGAGTTTGTCTACTTTAACTTGCAGGAAGCCTTTGAGGCCTGCCCAAAGTCCTATTACTGTAAGATGGAGTTGAAAAATCATTGGCCCATTGCAACCCTGGTCTCATCTCTCTGCTCTATTCTACTGCGGGCTCATCCCATTCATTGCTCTGGCTGCTGAGTGACTTGGGACTGGCCCAGAGGATGCCTGGATACTCTATTCTGGTCCTGAAATGGGGCCTCCTACATGTGAATTATGACTGGGAGCTTTGAGCCAAATCCCACCTTATACTTACAGGTACACTTTGTTAGTGGGCAAGCCACCTTTTGAGACTTCATGCCTAAAAGAAACCTACCTACGGATCAAGAAGAATGAATACAGTATACCCAAGGTGACTAATGATACTTTAAGCTTACGTTTTTTTTCCCCTAAAGCTATGTACTGAGTCCAGCTATGTGGGGACATAGATAGGTCAGCTCCAGCCACAGAGCTTTTGAGGGTCTGTATCTGAAATTGCATATCTATAACTTGGCATATATGTGCACATGGGCATTTTTCCTATGGGGTGAGGTCTGTAGTTTCTCAAAGGGATATTGACCCAGCAGATGTGTAAAAGGCAAAAGCAAAACAGAAAGCCTGGGAGGGAGTAGGAGGAGGAAGCGTTCAAGTTTTGGAAATGCACTTGTCTTGATCGAGATGGGTCACCTTGAACAAATTTCGCATCTCGACACTGGACTGTCTGTAGTACCTCATGTAGTTTTACGGTCTAGTGGCAGCTAACCAAAAAGGTTGGTGTTTCAATCCCACCAGCCACTGTGCTAGAGGAAGATGTGGTAGCCTGCCTCGCTAAAGGTGACAGCCTGGAAACCCTATGGGGCTGTTCTACTTTGTCCTGTAGGATCCTGATGAGGTGGAATTGTCTAGATGGCAGTGGGTTTGGAAGGTTTTGGTTTTGGTTTTAGAGTGTCTTTCATGTAGTAAATGTTTACAGAATTGTCCACCACCGAGACCAGTCCATGCTCACAGTCATCAGAAAAAACCCATAGAAAGGAATGGCATGTTCTTGCAGAAGTCAGCTGATGCTCTTGACATCGGTAGCCAGGAACCCTGACTACCCATAAAGGACCGAATCTCTGCCACCAAGAGTCGGTTAACCCTGAAACGCTCCTCGGTGTGGATGGCGGCACCAGTATTCATCGGGTGTGTGTTCTTGGACAAGGCACGGAACCTCTCAGTGCCTCAGTTTCCTCATTGCAGGAGGGGTTTAATAATAGGGGTCTCTATCTCAGATGTTTTTCAGCATAAATGAGTTCGCATATTTAGTGCTTAGAGTCCTAGTGTGGCGCTGTGGGTTAATGCGGTGCACTGCAAGGTCTGTTTGAACTGCACGGTCGGCGGTTCAAGCTCACCAGCTGCTTCTCAGAAACCCGATACAGGGTCGCTATGAGTCAGAACCAACTCAGTGGCACTCAACAACAACATAGTGCTTAGAACACTTTCCTGGTACGTAGTAAGTGTGTAGTTAATACTTGGTAAGTACCACAAAGTCAACTCTGACTGGTCGACCTTGTATAAGGTTTCCAAGGTGGATTCGAACAGCCATGCTTGCAGTCCGCAGTCCATTGCTAATTCTACAGTGCCACACCAGGACTCCATTGTTGTTGTTATGTGCCGTGGAGTCGGTTCCGACTCATAGTGACCCTGTACAGGGTTTCCGAGGCTGCAAATCTTTATGGGAGCAGAAAGCCTCATCTTTCTCCCGCGGAACAGCTAGACTCCATAGTTAATAATTATTGCTGTGGAGTTGGTTCCGACTCGTAGTCATCCTGTATAGGGTCTCTGAGGATCAGCTGGTGGGTTTGAACTGCTGACCTTGTGGTTCACGGTCTAGTGCTGATCCTACAGTGCGATAGCAGGACTCCAGACTTAATACTAGGCTGTTACTATGTCCCAAATTGTTGCTGTATGATCATTCTACAGCTAATGATACAAAGGCCCTAGAAAGTTCGATTTCTTATTTAAGGTGGCACAGCTAGTGTTAAAGGATAGAGTGGTGGTTTGAACCCAGATCTTGAGGACATCAAAGCCTGTGTTCTCCAGTGCTACTCTAGGGGTGAGCAGCTTTAATTTCCACAAGGGAAAATTCAGGGGAACAGATTCCACATCTCAAAACTTACTCTTGTCTCCAGAAGAAGTAAAAGGAATCATTCTCACAACTGAGTTTGAAAGGTATTGACTCAGTCAAGCTGCTAGTGGGAGAATTGGCACTATTTCTAACCCCTGAGCTGTGGCATATTTGAGGCCAGCAGGGTGAGGCCTCCTGGTCCTGGTGGCTATACTCGGGGTCTGTTGTCACATCCTGCGTATGACTCTCCTGTCTACTCCAGCACATCAACTCCACGGCTGCCTCCCTCATTCAGAAAATGCTGCAGACGGATCCCACTGCCCGTCCAACCATCAACGAGCTGCTCCACGATGAGTTCTTCACGTCCGGCTACATCCCTGCCCGTCTTCCCATCACCTGCCTCACCATTCCACCGAGGTTTTCAATTGCTCCCAGCACCCTGGACTCCAGCAATCGGAAGCCTTTCACAGTCCTCAATAAAGGTAAAATGAGGCTGTGGGGGCATGGCCGACATGCAGAGAAAGCCCAGGTTTAGGCGTGTGCGTGGTGTACTCCATGGCCCCCAGACTCAGGTGTCGAGTAGTACAGTGTTCTGTCCTTGAAATCGTGGCTTTGCCTCCCGTGGCAAAATGCCCTTCTACTCCTGGGCCTTGTCAGCAAAGACAGAGCTGACCATGGCTGACACACACTCCTTGGGCTCATGGTGAAGGCGGTGGTTCGTAACTCCCAAGATTAAAAAATGATTGGGTTCTTTAATACAGTTTCTAACACAACTCTTCATGGTTCATTGAAAATTGTGAAAAAAATTCAAATAGTACACATAAAACATAATATAGTGGGTTTTGATGTGGCGCTGTATGTTAAGCACTAAACCATAAGGTTGGTTTGAACTACAGGGTCAGCAGTTCAAACACACCAGCCCTTCCTTGGAAACCCTATACAGGGTTGCCATGAGTCGGAACCCACTGGAAGGGACTTCAGAGCAACAAGAAACAATGATCATATTTAATAGTGAAGATTTGGCTGCCTTTACTTCATCTGTCTTTCCCCTACCCTCCTTTTTGTGAAGTATTTTTAAAGTTAGCCCCGGACATCTTTTAGCCATAAATTTCAGTCTGCACCTCATACAAAAATGGACATTTTATTAAACCACGTACTCTTGCTTAGATTGTTGCTTCTACGTCTCTTCAAAGATCAGAATTCGGAAATACATGTTAATGGATAAGTTAGCCATGTTCCAACCAACCCAATGTTAAACTTTTTGATGTGTAGGTTTTTCACCCTCTTTGGCCCTGTACAAGCCTATAAAGTAAATTTTAGGGTGGAAAATCTCTACTAGTTTCCTTTGTACATTTTTTCTTTTTTTAAAGCTTTTTATTATGCATTGAATGAGGGTTTACAGAGCAGATCTTCAGTTTTACATTCAATAAGTCATATACTTTACTTTGTTACAATGATTGCAATCCCCTCCATGTAGCAGGTTAACAGTATTTACCTCTATTTATTCATTTTAATTATTTCATTCCTTCCTATGTCTCCTGCTACCATTATCTTTCATCTGTTAACTCCTTCTAGTATATTGCCTGCCCTCTCATCTATGTTAACCTGTGTTGACCCACTAGCCCCTGAATGATCCCACACCCGTAACCATCATTGTTTCTTTTATCAAGAACTTTTTTTTTTTTTTTTTAAACATTTTTACAACATTGGTCTCATATTTGTCCGGTTGTGACTGACTAATTTCACTTGGCATAATGTCCTCCAGATTCAACCAAGTTGTGGGACATGGTGACTATTCAGTGGGGATATTTTATTACCTTGCCCCGTATACTCTGAAACTGAACTTCCTTTTGAAAATTTGTAAGCCAGCCACTTCATGCCTTTATAGCTTCTCCCCCACATAGTAAGTAGCCAATGTCTAAGTTGCCCGTCCCTATCAACCCTGTGTACAGAGGGGATAGATAGGATTGATACTTGATGTGAAGACTCCTTCCCTTTCAGTTGGTATTTTGAGCTACTACATCCATAAGTGTAGGTCAAGCTCATCAAATTGTAGCAATTACACTTGTTTCCTATATCAAAAAATTTTTTTATCTTCCTTTAGTCAAGTTCTGGTCATCAAGCCATTGAGGCTAGGTCAAATGAGTACTATCTGCAAGTTTGAGCATTCTTGTGCATCTTCCCTCACTTCATATCAGCTGAATGATTTACTCTCAGCTCTAGCCCTCCATGGCTATGGCCTTGTCCATGGGCCCAAGAGTCCCCAGGTCTCACCACACTTGGACCAACCAGCCCTCTCTCTCATCTTTAGGTCAACGGGAGTCTGTGGAACATGGTTGAACTCAGCCCATTTCTTCATTGCTGCCTTTCCCCCTCTCCCACTCACCAATAGACCATCATGATTGCCAGCAAGTTTACATGCCTGCTCACATGTTCCCTTTGAGTTTCAGTCTTAGAGGGGGATTTGTCCTGAACGGACTTGATTGCTTGTCTCCATGGCTCCCCAGCAAACAATTTGCTTGTTTTTATAAGTAGCCAATCAGACTGCCTCTTTTGTTTTTAATTTTTGTTGTCTTCATCTTTTTGCTATGTCTCTTGGAGAAAGCATACTGAAGGTTCCTGTTTTGTTATCCATTCTGCTCTTTAAGTCTCTTGACAGGTACGTTTCATCCATTTACAGTCAGTGCAATTGTCAGCAGGTATCAATTGACTTCTGTTATTTTCTGTGTTTTTGTGGTGCTGCTGGATTCTCCCACATAATTTTCTATGCTGAGTTCATTTTGTTTGCAAGATATCCTTCTATTTTTATTTCTGTTGTTAATATTTTACTAAATCTTTCTGATTTTTCCTTTTTATTTTTGATGTGTAAGTGTATTATTTTCCTTTGAGGTAACCCTGCAATTTATTAAATTTTTTTCCTTGCTTAAAACAGTATGTGTTATCTTGAAATCTACTTGAGTTCCTTGCCATTTGGAAGTTCTGTATCTACACTAGTCCCCCTTTTTGCTTTATAGTTGACTTCATTGTACATTGATAGCTCTGGTTCCCTATTTTCAGTTTTGTAGGTTTGTCTTACTTTAAATATTTCTGTATCTAGATTGAGTTCTGGGTAGTGTTGTCATGTGTGGTAATCTCAGGTGGTTGTCTGATGTTCACTGTTGATTCTCAGTTCAAAGAACACTCCGAACCTTTTTTATTTGGGTAAAGTTGGCCTAGTTATTAAAAACATTAAAAATTCCTTTAATTTCTGTTTATCAGGAAATGTCCTCGTTTCACTGTTGTATTGAGGGACAGCTTTACTGGATATTTGATTCTTGGTTGATCCTTTGCTTTCTTTAGAGTTTTGTATCAGTCATTCCATTACCTTCTAGGCCTGCAGAGTTGCTGCTGAGAAATCAGAGCTTTTTCTATTGGTTCCCCTTTTAAGGTAACTTTTCATTTTTTTCCAAGTTGCTCTTGGGATTCTTTCCTTGTCTTTGACTTTGGAATGTTTGATTTTGTGTTGGTGATTTTCTTTTGGGATCTGTCCTGTTTGGGGCTCTTTCAGCTTTTTGTTGCTCATCTTCTCATCTTTCATGATGTTAGGATAGTTATCTTCCAACAACTCTTCGACAATTTTCTCTGTGCTTGTCTCTTTCTGTTGTGGAATTCTGATCACCTTTAAGTTGTTTTTCTTCATAGTGTCTCACATAACTCTTAAACTTTGTTTTTTAAATTTTTTTCTGATTATTCTTCGATCATACTAGTATTAAGAGATTTCTCTTCAAGCTCACTAATTTGAGTTTCCATTACTTCGCATCTACTCCTTTGTCTTTTCAATGTATTGACCATTTCTGAGATCTTAGTAATAATCTTTCAAATTTCTAATTGCAGGTTTTGTATTATTTCAAAATTTGCATTTATTTTGTCAGTTATTGTAGCGTTTTCCTGAATGCTTCTAGAGTTTTTATTGCGTTCTCCTTGCTCTCCTCAATCTCTCTGTCGTTCCTTTGAAGGTACCTTGATATTATAGGATCAGCACTGGACTGTAAACCACAAGGTTGACAGTTCAGACCACTAGCTGCTTCCCAGGAACCCCATAGAGAGTCGCTATGAGGCTGAACTGACTCGATAGCAATTAATAACAATATTTTTTAAAGTTCTTTTTCGTTTTTTTTCCATTACCTTTTCTTCCTCAGAAACATTTTCTGGCTCTGCATCTTGGTCATTTGTTTGAGCCATTCTCTCTTGTTTCTTCATGTGAGCTAAAATTATCTGCTGTCACTAGGGCATTGTGGGGTTGTCGTATTTGTAGAAACCGTGTGTTTGAACTCAGAAGAGAGACATTTCTGCATTTCAAGGAGCTCAAGAGGTGTGTGGGCAGGGGTGAGGCAGTAGAGTCCCCAGCCTAGATGGGGGTCCTGTTGGCCTTGGTGTTATCTGTCTGGAAGCAGTTCCTGGGAGCCCTTGATGGAGCTGGTTTCAGTGTCTGTTAGGACCACAGGGCAGCTGGGGGCAGGATGATTGGTCCAATGCTGGTTGGTGGTTCTAAGGGTTTTATAGTTCTGGAGCCAAGCCCACCAGAATCCAGGCACCAACATGGCACACTAAAGTGGCGCTACCAGTCCCCACCTCATACTGGTGTGTCTCCCAACCATGTTGCTCCGAACTCTCGGAGAACAGGGTCTACACAGGGGGTGGATGGGGTGGGAGCTGACCACATTTCTGGTCACCGAGGGAGTGTGGGGAAAACAAAGAAATTGTACTTTTTTTTCTTGCCCACATGAATCTGCTGTGCCAGGCCACCCTCTGCTGCCAAAGCTCCTCACAAGCTGGTGGAGGTGTGTCTGGACAGTCGGTCACCAGTCAGTCTGCCTCTCTCACCAACGCTGCACAGCTTCTTCTCCAAGCAAGCACTCTGCCCACCTCTCTCAACTTCCTTCTGAAGTTTAGGGTGTCAGAAGTTTCATGTGTGCTTTATTTGATCTGTCATACCTTTGTTGTAAAAGGTTCATGTAACGCAGCTGCCTTTTTCGCTATCTTGCCAGAAGTCCCCCTTTGTACATTTCCGTTGAAAAAAGAAAGCAAAGCCTTTGCCATCTCGTCATTCCCAATTCCTAGAGACCCTGTAGGACAGTGAAGCTGCCCTGTAGGGTTTCCTGGGCTGTAAATCTTTACTAAAGCAGACCAGCATATCTTCCTTCTAAGGTGTGCTTGGTTGTTTGAACCACCAATCTTTCAGTTAGCAGCTGAGTGCTTAGCCACTGCACTAGCAGGCTCCTGTGATCATTTAAAGGGTTGCTTAATGCATCCTGCTGGTAAGCTGATTTACTGACCCTCCAATCTGCATGGATGCACAGAAGCCAGGGAGCTCTGAGCAACCCATGCCTTCGAGTTGTCTTCTGAGTGGCATGTGGTACCCACAGGGCTTCCCCATTGGATCAAAGGCTGATGCTCCGTGCCTGTGACTTTCCTAAAGGCTCTGGCCTCATCCTCGAGGTACTAGTGTTGTGAATACCAGTGTCTGCATGGGAACAGGGCAGCTGCTGCTCTGATGCTGTGTCCCCAAAGCAAGGACACTGAAAGAGCTGTTCTCGGCTCTGGGTTGTCAGAGGTGTCAGAGGTCCTGTGCTGTTGGAACCATTCTCCTTTTGTGCCCAGCTTGTAACCATTCCTCATCCTTTTCCTAGGCATGGAGAACACCCAAGTGCCCAAGTGTCCCCAGGAGAAAGAAGAACCAGGGGTTCAGGAGACGGGTGAGGCTGTCGACTGTCACCTCAGTGACATGCTGCAGCAGCTACACAGCGTCAATGCCACCAAACCCTCAGAGAGGAGGCTGGCAAGGCAAGGTGGGCACTACGGGGTTTGCTTGGGGTATCTGCTGCGGGGCAGGCATTCCAAGCCAGCAGTTTTAGTGGCTTCTTTAGGTAGGTCCCGGTCATGATAATCTCTCTGGTTCCCTCACTTCAAGTTGAGTGAATTCAAATGAGTTAGCTTGGCATTCGAGGCCCTTATTGTTTTTCTAATCCATCAGCTCACCCCACAAGAACCTCAGGCCGCTGGCACTTCTCTAAATAGGTGGCCTGGATACACGTGCTGGTTTTTCTGCTCAGTGGAGTCCTTTTTGTCCTTCAAGTCAGTTGACAGAAGAGACCCAGATGTGCTGCCACCTGGGGCGTTGCTCTTAGTGTACCTCTTGGAAGGCATTTCCTGGGGATCAACGTGGCTCACATGCGGACTTCCTTCCATGGCCTGTGGCACCCTGGGACTATGTCTCTGACTCACAGGCCTAGCCCCGCTCATTGCCTGACCTGCCTCGAGTCCTCCTCGGCACTTCTCACTTAACTCTGCTGAATGAGTGTTTGAAATAAGGGGTTGTACACTCAGTAGATATATAGAAAGCATTGCTTTTAGGGTTCCAGTTCACATGAAAACCACGTTGTTCCAAATGGAATGACCATGTATCTGTGATGAGTGGGTGGCTGCCGACAAGTTCTCTCAATAATCACTGGTCTTAGTAGGTCCAATCAAAACCGTGGCTTCAGAAGGGATTCTGCTGGGCCAGTTAAATTCAGAGGCAGAGGGTTATGGTGACTGGTTTTAAGCATTCCAAAGGGGTCATTTTGCTAGATAGTCTCGAAGGACACAGGACTGTCGTGAGGGCTTATTAGGAAGAAGTTGTAAGGAAACTGAAAACTACATTGGTGAGAAAAAGGAAAGTTGCCTTGAAGAATTTTTTTCCCCGTAACAAAGCAGCACCTGCTCATTCTTGGTGGGCAGAGCAAGGACTTTCCTATGAGAATTTCACTGGGAAATTTTACCCCATCCACACAACCCCGATCTTGCCCTTCAGACTAACATTTAAAAGGAACAAAACTTGAGTCCCTTGAGGACGCCAAAATGCTGTTTTGATGTGGTGTAAATCAAAAGAGCTTAGAGTTCTTTGGGAAAGGGTAATTGATAGCTGCTGGTGGTTGGTCCCGCCTCCTATTGACCCTGTCATACAACAGAATGAAACAGCGCCCTGCCCTGCGGCTGCGCCCATCCCAGATGGAAGGTTGTCAAAAATCATGGGTTTACGTCTCAACATTTTTGTTTAATGAAGGGTTCTGGGGTTTAGCAGCAATACTTTCTGATGTGCCCTCGTTAAGTCCGTGAGATCAGTTAATCATGTGCAACCATCACCATTGGCTTTTGCCACGTTTTCTTTCCCCATAAAAATTCAGGCCTCTTAAATCATAATCTTCCCTATCCCCTCTCTCAAAAGGAGCAAAGTAGAAAATCTACCAGTCACTGACCCTTGGTGTGATAGAAAGTAACATGTGCTATCTATATTTTTATTGTGATATCAAAAACATTTACAACGTTAACAGTTTTCATCACGTGCCTTTCACTGATGTTGTCTTTGTGTTGTTCAAACCATAACCACTGTTTCCAAAATTTCCCATCATCCATATGGAAGTTTAGTGCCCCGCCTATACTATGGCTTCCTGTTATCCTGGTGTGGCATGAGGATAAGCACTGGACTGGTAACTACAAGGTTGGCAGTTCAAACCCACCCAGCCACATCTTGGAAACCCTATCCAGGGTCACTATGAGTTGGATTCAGTTAGATGGCAGTTAACATCAACACAGTCCCTTTAATTAGTCTTTGTCCCTGCAACCAGAAGGCAAGCTTCATGAAATCTGGGTTTTCGTCTCTTGTTCAGTGTGTCCGTGACAGTGCATGCCACATGGCAGGACTTCAGTAAGTGTGTTCATTCAAGAGGCTACTGTTTAAAGTCTGTTGGGCTTCGCAACTGTGCTTAGTGGTGGCAGAGGCCATTCCTTTCTCATCCCTGGGGCCCCAGACCTGGCTTCCAGTAGGTATCTCCCTTCTTCGCTTCGTACCTGGGCCCAGGTGAGGTGTCTGGTGTATTTCTCACCAGTCACCTGTCCGTTTCTGTCTCAGAGGAGGCCGAGGACCCTGCCTGCATCCCTATCTTCTGGATCAGCAAGTGGGTGGACTATTCAGACAAGTACGGCCTTGGGTATCAGCTGTGTGACAACAGCGTCGGGGTGCTCTTCAACGACTCCACGCGCCTCATCCTCTACAATGACGGCGAGAGTCTGCAGTGCATCTAGCGCGATGGTGCAGAGTCCTACCTGTCCGTCAGCTCCCACCCCACCTCCTTGATGAAGAAGGTGAGTGCTGGCTGGCCCCCAGGCTGGGGCCTGAGCCAGAGTCACGCTGTAACTCTGAACTGTCTCTCCTCCTCTCCTGCTTCCCAACCAGATCACACTTCTCAAGTATTTCCGGAATTACATGAGTGAACACTTGTTAAAGGCTGGTGCCAATATCACGCCGCGGGAAGGGGATGAGCTAGCCCGGCTACCCTACCTACGTACCTGGTTCCGCACCCGCAGTGCCATCATCCTGCACCTCAGCAATGGCTGTGTGCAGATCAACTTCTTTCAGGTGAGCCGAGAAAACCCAGAGCAGGGCAGAGTGTATGCCTGACAGTGGTCCCACAGGAGTTGGGTGGGTTGTGTGTGTTTACAGTGGAAGCGTTATGTCCTTGAAAGCAGTAGTAAGAAGGAAGTGGGTGGGGGGGGGACTCTTCATCTTCCAATCCTCCCCTAAAAACCCCATTGCCATCGAGTTGATTCCCAGTGACCTTAGTGACCCTCTTGGATGCAGTAGGAGTGCCCCATAGGCTTTCCCAGTCTCGAATCGTCCCTAAAGCCAAGGCCACTTCTTCCTCACACAGCAGCTGCTGGCTTTGACACCCCAACCTTTCCGTTTCAGCTAAGTGCTTAACCACTGTACCATCAGGACCCCTGGCTCTCCCCTCTGCTCTCCCCCCGCCTACACTTGCAGGATCAGCCCCCAGACAACCTCCATCTGCCAATCTCTTTCCCCTTCCAGGATCATACCAAACTCATCCTGTGCCCTCTGATGGCGGCTGTGACCTACATCAACGAGAAGAGGGACTTCCGGACATACCGCTTGAGTCTCCTCGAGGAGCATGGCTGCTCTAAGGAGCTGGCCAGCCGCCTCCGGTATGCCCGCACCATGGTGGACAAGCTGCTGAGTGCGCGTTCTTCCACCAACCGCCTCAAGGCCTCCTCATAGGCCCCCTCCCTCCGGACTGGTGCCCCCTTTACTCCCTCCAGCACCTGGGGCCTCACGGGTTAGCCCCTCCGTTTTTGTCTTCATTCAACTAACTGGTGGGTGTTTTTTAAGGTGCCTCACAGCACTTGGGGCCGGGGGAAGAACTACAGCATCCTTACAGGTGGGGGTTGCTATATAAATTATTTTTTTCCTCCCACAAATTCAGGTGTGGGTCCTGTCAACCCCTTCTCCTTTCCTCTCAAATCCTACCACGTGACTTGTACAAAAAAACTGTATTGAATTTTAACCTATCCTGTCTTTCATTTTATATACATTAATAAATATGTGAATTGGGTATTTCCTTTTCTCTGGGATTCTGTCTATTCTGACACTGCGTCCAGCCTCAGCCACAGACCCAACGCCCCAAGTGGCCTTTCGGCCTGAGGCCCCTCTGGCTCTCAGCTCCCAGCAGCAGCCCCCGGCCATGGATCCCTGGCTGACGGTGCCGACGGGTAATAGGGCAGGAAGAGGCTTTCCGAAGCGCAGCTCCTCATAGCCTGGTGTGTGTGCAGGAGCAACCGTGGGAAGCGACTTGTGAAGTACTGGACGAAACTGTCGGGGACTTGGCCCAGCACCTGTTGAACCTCAGCCGGGAGCTCCCTGTAGTGGTGCTTCTGTGGAGGAGAAATAGAGGGATGCCTCACCTGTGCTCAGGCCTTCCCAAGAGACGGGCCTCACCCCGCCCTGGAAACACACCTTGTTCCTCATGGCACGTAACAGGTCTCGCACCGATGTTCCCTTATATGTCCGGAACCTTCTCAGATCTGTGGGCAAGGAAAGCATTGGCAAAGCTGCCTCCCCTGAGGCCTGCAGTGGTGTTCGGGACCCCCTGAGTCTGGCCCACCTGTCTGCAGTGACTCTGAGATGTGTTTATGCCAGTTGCGCTGGACCACCACCTGGCCTCCTGCCTCCAGCGCCATCACCGAGGGTTCTTGCTCAGCCTCCTTCTCCAGCCAGTCGCTGACATCCTAGGACCCCAGAATTCCTGAGCCTCATGACAAGTATTGGGCCAAAGGCCACAGGTTGTATGAGGGGGCTTCAAAAGGTTCATGGACAAATGGAATTAAATGATAATGGAATTTATCCACAAGGTTTTTTGAAGCCCCCTCGTGTAAGGAGAAGAGAGTAGCAAAGATTTCATGGTTTGGGGTGTTGCCTCTTTCTGAGGGAGGCTTCTTTGTGCCATACATACCGTACCTCATGTTACCCCACCAGATCTTTACTTTCAGCCTGAAAGGTAGGTACTGTTGTCCCCATTTTCGAGGTGAGAAAACAGGATCAGAGGCACAAACACCCTTGCTCTAGGCCACACAGGCAGAATGAGCTTTGTACGCCCAAGTATAGCCAGAGGAACAACTCAGGCTGAAAGGACTGGGGCATATTCTGGCACAGAGGACAGCTGCACCTGGAAAAGGTGATACCTAGACTGTAGAATGCTCAGCCACATTACAAGTCAGGGCTTTGGTCTGGTTTGGAGTAAGGAGCTAGTCCACCGGGCACAGGAAGCCAAGTCTTACCCCCCCAGCCACTCTGGTTTCCCCTTCCTAGGGTCATTCCTGATTGCCCTCTGACCTGAAAGAACTGAAGCTGCTTGGCTCTGCTCCAAAAGAAAGGGTGAGCTAGCACCTGGTAAGCAGAGGGTCGGGCCTGTGGACAGGTGCTCAGCATGGCCGCCACCAGGTCCCGGGAAAGCACCTTGTCTGTGGGGTAGAGGACGAGTGGCTTCAGAGCTGCACACCTTCCTGCCCTTCCTCCTCCCAGGATGAGCTTGCCTCACCGTGGGACTCCTCTTCCAGGTGAGCCAGGCAAGGGACCCCCGCAAGGATGTTGGCTTGGCGATACAGGCTCTCTCCAAACGGATGACTGCCGCCAGAAAGGACATAGTAGAACACACAGCCAGCTGAAAAGATGTCCACTGCACTGGTCTGCAGGCCAGAGAGATGAAGTCGGCTGGGAGGAAGGCTGTCTGATTGAATTCTCTCGTGGGCTACTACAGTAGCCAGGGGTTTGACTCCGACCTGAGTCTCAAGATGCTTCCTTGGAGGCAGCTCCTGGCTGCTAGACCCCACTTCCTGTGCACCCATGAAAGGGGCCAGGTTTTCATTCAGCCTCTGGGCCCACCTCTACTGAATTCCTAGCATAGGGTTACAGGCTTCATGCTTGCAGGGCGGAAGTTGTAAGACTGAGTGAAGGCTCCAGATAAGAGGAATAAGGTCTGTCGTGGGTTTGGCTCTGCCCAGGGGCAGCTGGTCTTAGCACCAACTGATTTAGGGAACTTGTAGGGCAGGGGGCAAGGTGCAGAACTTTTGATCTTTCAAGAGAATTCAGATGTTTATTGGAATCTCCAAAATGCTACTAAGTAAATAAAAATTGTGGGTTACATACACTTGCTACCTGAACTTCTCCGGTATCCCCGTTGCATTCAACAATAGGGTTGGGAGTCCTGGTGTGGCGTTGTGGGTTAATGCGCTGGACTGCAAAGTTGGTTTGAACCACAAGGTTAGTGGTTCAAGCTCACCAGTTGCTCCTCGGAAACCCTATATAGGGTCGCTATGGGTCGGAACTGACTCAACAGCTCTTAACAATAGGTCGGAACCGATTTGACAGCACTTAACAACAATAGGTTTGGGTAGCTTTGCTTAGTGACTGTCCTCTGGTAATCTCTTCATTGGCCCATGACATCAGCTTCTGCCCACACATAATTCTGGATTCCCAAACTCAAGTCTTTGAGAGGCAGACTGGGCTCAACTATATCAGTTCATCTTATGCTCCCCAAGCCTTTCTCCTGGGTGGTTGTTGGCCCTGGTGACACATTAAAACCACCTGGGGTGTTACCCGAGGCCAATGAACTCAGAATCACTGGATGGAAGGGGGCCTGGGCATAGATTAAAGTTCTCCAGGTGATTCTGTAGCACCATGAGGATTAAAAACCACTTTTTCTAGAGCAGGGTTTCTCAACCTCCGCAGTATTCATATTTTTGTCCTGCTCAACTTTTCATGTGTGAGGTTGTTCTAAATACTGTAGGATGTTTAGAAACATCCCTGGAGCCGACCCACCATACTTCTGCCACCAGCTGTAATGATCACAAATGTCCCCTGGATTTGGAGGGAGGAGGACACTGCTGCTCTAGGTCAGAACAAAACAGAAACCAAACCCATAGCATTGATTCCATTCTGACCTGTAGCAACTCTATATAGGACAGCAGAACTAATCTTAGGGTTTCTAAGACTGTACATCTTTATGGAAGCAGAATGCCACACATTTCTGCTGCAGACCTTTCAGTTAGCAGCTGAGCGTTTAACTACTGTACCACCATGGTGATAGGCTGGAGAACTGTTTTCCCGGAGAAGTCACGCAGGGTGGAATAGGGACAGACTCCAGTGCAGGATTCACCGCGACAGAGCGTGGACCCCTGAGGCCATGGCCCGTGTCTGCCAGGCGGAAAGACTTACAGGGCTGTCTGGGGGCCGGAGCTGAAGAAGTTCAGGTGCCATCCAGCCTTCTGTGCCAGGGATGCCTGACTGTAGGGAGAAGCTCTGGTGGCCGGCAGGCAGCTTCTTACAGAGACCAAAGTCCGAGAGGACCACTCTGCCTCGGCCTTGGGTGTCAGGTTCCGTGATTAGAATGTTTCCTGGCTTCAGGTCCCTGTGCACTATGGAAGCAGACAGGGCATTGGACTGGAGTGGTGTGGGGAGGTGGAGGGAGTTGAGGATCGGGAGCAGGAGGTGAGCTGGTACCTATGCACAGGGAATGCAGGTGGGCCAGGCCAGACATCAGCTGCTGCAGCACCACCTCAGGCTCCAGGCCCCAGAGGTCCAGGTCCGGGGTTTGCACATACTGAGGAGTAGCAAGGAGTAGAGCGTCATTCTCCAGCAGGGCCCTCTGGGTCACCCCACCCGCACCCCTCTGAGCGCTGACCTCACCTCCTGCAATGAGGCCCTGCAGAGCTCCAGAGCGATGTAATGGAACTGGGGTCCTCGCTCAGTACAGAAATAGCGGAGCACATTGGGGTGTCTGTCGGATTCCTGCAGCAACTGCACCTCACGCTGAACAAGACCAAAGCATTCGCGAAGGAGGCGTTTGACAGCCACTGCCCGACCCTCAAACTGTCCGCTGGGAAGTGGGTGAGCCGGAAGTTCAGAAAAAACAGGTAAAGAAAAAGGATAGGAACTGGTGAGTGAGGTACTAATACACACACACCCGGCCTCCCAAGGCAGTTGGCACTGTGTCTCTCTCCAGACTGGTTCCTGGATATACTACTCACCGGAACACGAAAGTCCCGCCGGCACCACGGCCCAGCACGTCCTTGGGGTTGAAGGAAATCTTCCCTACCACAGTGAGTTGTTCAGCTAAGAGGAGAGTGGAGGGCTGGGTCTTGGGGAACCAGTCTGCTTGCTGCCCACGCCTTCACCATCTACCCTTACCCTCCCTGTCTGTACCTCCACCCAGTCCAGACCCACTCCTGTCACCCCAGCCTCTCCTGACTTCCACCCTCGCATGTCCTGCTTGGTACACTGTGGTGCCAGGCGCTGCTGTTTACTCTGTGTGGGCAAGTGGTTTTCTCATCTGTGAAGCAGGGATAATGCGGATGCCCCCTCTGGGTGGCATTGAACACACAGAAAGAAGGGGAATGTTGATATCTTTGTTGTATTATCGTCTTTAACTCTCCCCAAGCAGCTCTGCTAGTGAAGTGGTTACGAGTCGGCCTGTTAACCTCGAGGTCAGCAGTTCGTTACCACCAGTCCTTCTGTGAAAGAAAGATGAGGCTTTCTGCTCCCATAAAGATTTACGGCCTTGGAAACCCTATGTAGGGTCGCTATGAGTTGGAACCGACTCCACAGCACATAACCACCACCATCACTCTCCCCACCTTCTAACTGTAGTTGGGAGGAACCCTGGTGGCGCAGTGATAAAGCAGACTGAACAGTTGGCAGTTTGAGCCCAGCAACTGCTTCCCTAAAGGTTTACAGCCTTGGAAGCCCTTTGGGACAGCTCTACTCTGTTGCTCTGGTTTTTAATTGAGGTTGAAAGGTCCCCAGGTGGTACAGATGGGAATTCTAATTAAAAAAAGGAGCTTTGGAGTGTAGTGGTTACGAGTCGAGCCACTAATTTCAAGGTCAGCAGCTGGAAACTACCAGCCATTCTGCGGGAGAAAGATGAGGCTTTCTGCTCCCGTAAAGATGTATAGCCTTGGAAACCCTACACAGGGTCGCTATGAGTCAGAACCGACTCCACGGCACACAACCACCACCAGCATTCATTCAAAGGTTGACATCCACACAGCGGTACCACGGGAGAAGGTTCTAGCGGTTTGCTTCAACCAAGAAAACACGATGGAACTCAGTTCTAGTCTGTATCACATGGGGTCATCTTGAGTCAGAGTGGGTTCACTGACAGAAGCTCTTTAAGACGGAAGTTGAATCCGCTTCACACAGGAAGTGGACTTGGCAGCTGGATGCATAGTGAGATTGAGTGTGATCCTAAACACACTCGGGAAGCTGTCCTGGACAGCAGCAGTCAGCAGTGTTAAGTTCCCCAGAGTTAGTTCTAGATCAGAGAACCCTCCAGAAGGCCTTGGGATCCATTATGATGGGTGGGATTGGCTCAGGTGAGCAGCAGCCTGGAGGCTCACACAAGTTTCCATTCTTCCCCTTGGACAGTCTACAAGAGACCCCTTCACGCTGACCTGGGTGCATCCAGACTGACTGCAATCTTCTCAGCTCCAAGGGCACCCACCATTCATGCAGCTACACATATATGGCACCCCTAAAGTTGTGCAGTGCCCCTCAGGAGACCCCACTTAGGAACGGCTGTTTTGGTCTCTATAATCAGCTTTTGGAAAAGCAAATGCAACCAGGGCTAGGGATAATGGAGAAAAGGACCAAAGTGAACCTCAGCATTGCTCTGAATTCACCGCTTAAACATTTGCTCTCATCTGTGGGCAAAGTGTAGGAAGTGACCTATGGTAGTGCACAGTGGGCTCTAAAGAGTAGGTCTGATAGTGCAGGGTCTTGCAAGAAGCACCCAAACATTAAGAGTGGGCCTCATGGTCTCTCTGGTTATTCATAAGGTAGGAACTGAGTTACTGAAGCCCATCTGCAGAAGATCTGCCTATATGATTACAGGTGAAGATCACAGGTCCATTTAGGAGAACTTAATCACTCCTCCCTCTGAACCCTGAAGCTTTTTGTACCACTCACTTGTTCTGTGGGGTTTCCCATCTGTTGTTCAATACTTGCCTTTGGCATAGAGTGTTGCTGTTGTTAATTGCTGTCAAGTTGGTTCTGATTTATAGGACTTGTGTGGCGCTGTGGGCTAATGCGTCAGACTGCAACGTCGTTTGAACTGTAAGGTCAGTGGTTCAAGCTCATCAGCTGCTCCTTGGAAACTCTATACAGGGTCACTATGGGTCGGAATCGACTCGACGGCACTTAACAACAACAGCAACATATGGTTTCTGAGGAGTGGCTGGTGGGTTTCAACGCTGACTTTGGAATTAGCAGTCCAGGCTTATCTTACAGCACCGCACCCCTAAGTGCTTGCTGAGTGTGATTGATTAATTTTGTGTGCCAACTTTTAGTTATGGTTCCCAGTTGTTTGACTAAACACGGGTCTAGCCGTTGTCATGGGATATTTACATGTGATTAAATGAGCAGATTACCTTCTGTTCTGTAATGTAATGTAACGCAGTGAAATGTAATGAACTTCCCTACATATTGTCAGGAGGGACCAGTTGCTGGAGAAGGATACCATGTTTGGTAAGGTGGAGGGTCAGAGTAAAAGAGGAAGACCCCCAGTAAGATGGATTGGCCAAGTGGCAGCATCAATGGATTCAAGCGTGGCAACAATAGTGAGGTTGGCCCAGGATTGGGCAGTGTTTCATTCTGTTGTGCCTAGGGTCGCTATGAGTCAGTACTGAGTCGATGGCACCTAACAACAACAACAACTGCAGTTTAAAAGAGTCCTGGCAGTGTACTGAATTATGCATTGGGTTTTTAACGGTAAGGTCAGCAGTTTGAATCCACCAGCCACTCCATAGAAGAAAGACGAGGCTTTCTGCTCCCATAAAGATTTACCATTTCAGAAGTCCTATTCATAGTCACTATGAGTTGGAACCAACTTGATGGCACACTACAACAGCTAATGTAGTGAGATGCTAAAGTAATCCAAAGTCGTCATGTGAAGGGAAGTCAGGTGAATAGTCAGAATTACCTCTGAAAATCCTGGAGTGCACACGATGCATTTTGCAGCTGCTTTTATACAGGCTAGGAAACAGTGATAGTTAAGGGTTTATGTCATTGGCTGGGCCAGGCTTCTGAGTGTCTGGGCAGTTAAGGTGTAGTAATCACCTCCAGGATGAAATCTAGCATGATGTAATCACTGTCCCCACAATGTGATCAGCTTGGATCTGAAATAATTGTTCTCTGTGTTGTAAATCCTCACTTCTCTGATGAGCCCAGATGAAATCTACAAGATTAGACTCTACTTAGAGTTCATCTTTTTTTGCAAAATAACAGAAATTAAACAAGCAAGCACAGCTCAGAGGGACTTAACTACCACCAAGAAAGAAGAATCAGGAATGTATTGTGTCCTTTGGGCATAAATTCCCTGCACTGAGAAGCTCCTGGATCTAAAGAAAAATTGATACCAAGACACATGGAGACCTCCAAGAAATGTTGTGTCTACAGAGAGTGAAAACAGACAAGGAATTTTCCTGGAGCTGGTGCTATGAAGCCGGACTTCTAGCCTCTTGAACTGTGAGGAGTCCTGGTGTGGTGCTGTGGGATAATGCACTAGACTGCAAGGTCAGCGGTTCAAACTCATCAGCTGCTCCTCGGAAACCCTCTGCAGAGGGAAACCCTCTGCTCCGACTCAGCACTCAGCAACAAGAACTCACTGTGAAGATGAATTTCTGTTTGTTAAAGCCATCCACTTTTGTTACAGGAACACTAGAGAACTCAGATGTTGTTGTTAAGAGCTGTTGAGTCAGGTCTGACTCATAGCGACCCTGTATAGGATTTCCGAAGAATGGCTGGTGAGCTTGAACCAGCCAACCTTGCAGTTCAAACTGAGCTTGCAGCCCAGCGCATTAACCCACAGCACCACACCAGGACTCCCATAATGAAATGCTTAGTTTTAAAAAAATAGTTCAGCGATGGCCGTGAGGTTATGGTCTGAAGAGTTTTCTGAAGAGTGTCTCTTGACCATTTTCCTGCCAGCACCCACAGTCCCTTATTTGATCTGCCAGGAGATATTGATACACTGAACTGCAAATAATTGCACCTCAAATGGGCAAGTCTCAGCTGTTAATTATAATCTGCCCTTCACATATTCATTTCCTGTGTATTAAGTTGTATTAAGTGCGGTTTTAGAGTCTCCAGTATCAATCATTGATTCAGCAGATGTTCACTGAGCAGTGTTCTGGAGTTGCGGTGATCAACAGTTTAGACAAGGCAACTGTTCTTGTTTGCCACAGAACCTGCCATTCCCTACTGTTTCTCCTACAGGGCAGCTTCAATCACTGTATCCACTTAGCCTGTCAGTAAGCGTGCATTTGCAACCTTGCTCTTTCCAGAATGTGTATTCTGCTCTTTCACCTCTGAATGGGTGTTCTGTGCTGTTGCTGCAACCTCGAATGCTCCTCCCCCGGCTCCTCCCTGCTCATTTGGGTCAGATATCACTTCTTGGACACTTCCTATCTCCCCAGGCTCGGTCACAAGCCCCTCCTCTGTGTTCCCATTGCTCCTTATCTGACTATAATAACATCTATCACCCCAGAATAATCACCTGTTTTCTTGTCTCCTTCCACCCAACCTCACTCCACGGCTAGCAGTACGGCTTAGCCTTGTTGTTGTTGTTAAGTGCCGTCGAGTTGGTTCTGACCCATAGAGACCCTGTATAGGGTTTCCCAGGAGCAGCTGGTGGGTGAGCTTGAACTGTCAACCTTGCAGTTTAAATGGCTTTGCAGTCTGGTGCATTAACCCACAGCGCCACACCAGGACTCCAGGCTTAGCCTAGAGGGCAGGAAAGTGCCAAAAATCAAGAGTTTATTAGCACCTTAAACAGAGAAATAGATTTTCTCTAGATTACAGAGGTAATCAGTATTAGAGAGAGATTGTTACCAGCTGAATTTAGACAGAAAGATTCCAGGTTCTTTATTTTCTGAGACTCTTATCCTAACACATAGATACCACTCTGCTTTCTTTCTTATAGGGTGTAAAGAATCTTTGGTATTTTATAGCTAGAGCTGAGATTTAACATTTCTTTACTTGCTCTGTTATCTCCCAGGAGGATTATTGATAGCCACTGATTCTGAACACAAATCAGGGAAAACAGATGCTATCAGATA